ACTCTGTCCCTTGTCAGAAGTTCATTGTCCTAGTTCTGTAGGACACAATCCAGGAAAAACATTTTAAAAACGCCATCAGTGTCGGCAGCCACTTGTTCTCAAAGCCTCCCTTCTTTCGATAGTCATTGCCATCACATGAAACAAGACATCAAAACACCACCTGTGCTTTCAGATCTTTCTGTTGGCTACCCAGAACTTCAAAGTCATAAGGGATGTAGTCCCAAATAATTCCTGAGTGTGCCGTTCATTTCACACACTGGATTTGAGAATCTTCTGAGAAGCAGCCAATTCATGGTCGTGGTACAAGGTGCTCTCTGTAATATCTTGGATATTGGCTCTGACTCCCTCTCAATTTTCCACATCAAAACCATGGTTCGAAGTTACCATGACGGGAAACAATGTCTGCCTGTGTCCGCAGAGGGGCTGTCCGAAAGCCATCTGCGGGAACAGTGCTGCACAAGATCCAAAGGCGAAGACTGCCCTTCGTTTTTCTGCTGTTTCACATACCTCCACTTGCCCACTTGATGACATTAATTTCTCTGCATATTCCTGGCTTCCTTCCTCACTATATTTTTTATCCTGCTTAAGAGACTTTCATTCCCTCAAAGAAGCTGGAGTGTGAAAAAGCATCTATTTAGGCTCTTTTCCTTCTGCTTGTATTTGCAGCTGCTATAATTGGTCTCGGGCATGAAAAGGAAGACGTAACTTATTCCAAAGGTCACCACGCCACCCCCGAGGCAGGTGTATGCACTGGATTGCCAAATGTTTTCCTTCCATTTTTGCCTATTTTGACCCCAAGAGTCAGAATGAAAAAAAAACACATTCTTTTTATGTGTGCTCTTGTCAAGTTTGAGGAAAAAAAGCTAGGTTCAGATAGAGAAATAACTAACCAGAGGTTATTGAATGAAGTACTTATTCGTGACTATGTTTTTATATTTCTTAAACATCTTTTCTTTAAATGGCCTGTTTTATTCCGCCCCCCCCCAAAAAAAATGTTACACTAATGCTACTTAATATGCTTAGCTGCTTAATTAGGATTGGAGACAATGGATAATATATATTTGAATGTAAATGCTTGATAATTTTTGACTAAGCTGGCTTACAGAAAGTCTGGCATTTCAGATAATGAGGTGATAAATCAGGCCACTAATAGAGAATGCCTAGTGGCTCTCTCATCCACAGGCCCTTGAGTGCTTTCCCTCTAAGTAACAGCAAATATCTTGGGGAAAAGGAACAGTATGGTATCCCATTCTACCTCCTGGGCAGATATGAGGCACATCTCTTCCCTGACAGCAATGCTACTGTAGGCAGCAACTTCATCTTATACTTGTTTGTACTCCTGATGATGCCTAACATGCCAAAAATGTATACAGAAATATAGTAATATAGTAAGTTACCTTTTACCCATATCATTTGATGAGTTTATGGACAACTTGAGTCAAGTATCTAGCAGAACCAGGAGGGGTTTCCACTGGTGCCAAGATCTTCTATTCAAGCACAGAAAACCTCAGTAACTTGGATGAAGAAAGACCTAGAGACAGACCTTGGGTGCATCCCCTAGCCTGGACCCTCACCACCTGCCAGTCAGGAGCTTCCTCAGTCAGTTTATTGTGTGACTGGTCCTCTCTTCCTGCCCCTCAGCTTCTTGTAGGCTATTCAGAGAGTGCCCTCTACAGGATGAACTGAGGACTCATAAGTACTTAATTCATTTCCTTCAAATGACAGGTGTTCAAGAGCTAATAAGCACAAAATTTAAGTTAAAGTTTAACGAGAGATAATGGATTGCTACATTTATTCTTCACAACTACCATTTATATTTATTTTAATAACTGCCTTAAATGTCTTTACCCCAAAGGGTAACCAATGGTGAGAATCACAGGTGCATCTTGCCCCATCTGTCTCAGAGTGGAGACGGATGTGTTCCATGGCTCTCTGCTATACCTCGCCCTCCCCCTGCATAGCATCTCTGCCTGAGGGCTGGTCCTTCTTGCAGAGAGAAATTTCCAGGAGCAGAAACACATGCCTACAGCTCTTCCTGCTTTGATTCAAGTCCATTTTTTTTAAAACCTGAAAACAGAGAATGGGAGCTCAGTGTTCCTTTTTCATGTCAGCCTGGGATCAAATAATCATAGAATCATAAAGCGGAAAGCGGTTCCTTCACTAAATCATGATCCTCCACAGGACCACTGAGGAGTGATGCCCCAGCCTCCTACTTCACACCACGTGACACCCTTCCTGAGCATATCTCATACCAGCACTCCAAAAACAACAAGAAACGAGCTTCTCCACCGTCACTTAGTGTCACTGATCTCTGACTAACTCAGAATTATCCAATTCCTAGTTAGATCCACTCCTCTCCTCCAGAGGCGCTCACCTGACTGAGAACAGAAGTCAGAGAGAAAAAGAGCACCCTTTCCTGCCTGGATCTCCCCCTTCCTCACCACCTGAGCATGATGATCACATGCCCAGAACAAGGCAGGGCGGAGGCAGGCAGCTACCAATGGTCATCTGCCTTTGCCATGGTCATAATTGGCCTTCCCAAGTGGACTGCCAATTCCAAGATGCTGGGCAGCCCCACTGCCCACTCCCTCCCACCGAGTGGGAACAACACAGGATGGATTTATAGACTCCAGGACTCACCCATCTCTAGAGCCCTACAAACATCACAGTGCAGCCACCTCATGGCCCCCGGCTTAGGTTTTCCACAGCTGCTATTCCTCCTCCCAGAGCAAACATTCCTCCTAAAAGCAGAGCCTTGGGGAAGGTAGAACCCTTTCTGCTTTCTCACTATCTTATCAGAACCAGAGGCAGAGAGAAGTGGGTTATACCAAGAGATTACTAGTAATGCACATCGAATGGGATGGCCACAGCAGCCCCCTCTCCCATTCTTGCTTTTTGCTCTGTACTTTTCATGAGCAAACGGGTACTCAGAAACGAGTTTATACCCAGTTCGTATACCTCAAAAAGAGGGAGAGCATGGAGTTAGGTAAGAACATGACTGTGGAGTCAGACAGACCTGGGTTTGAATCCCAGTAGAACCCCTACCAAGCCAGATGACCTGAGCATGCTGAGAACTTCCTGAGTCTCAGTGTCTCTTCCATAAACAAGGCCAATACCATCTGTCAGTCAGGACTGATGGGATATAAAATACATAATGGAAACAAAAACTTTAAAAAGTGTGTCCATTCTTTCTCTAGCATGAATGTAAGTTAATGAGTGTCTAGTACTACGTGAAAGGCATTGTCTCATGTGAAAGGCATATCAGGCACCAGTGAGAAGGCAAAGGGGCAATTGGGAGAAATGGGGTTAACGTAGGAGTGGCTGCCAGACATGCCTGGTGGTAAAAAAAACAAAAAACAAAACAAAAAAAAACACATAAATGATAGCTCCTTTATGATCCTGTATGTAACCAAGGTTGTCATTACCTCTGAGGCTGCAGCAGGAAGGGAGCAGAAGGGATGGCTGGGTCATGGCTGGGGTGGCTCTGAGGACGTCCTCCCTAAGTGAAGAGAGGCCAACACAGCCAAAAGCTAAGAGCCTCAAAGCTCTAGAATGGCTCCATTCCAAAGGATTAGCCCAGGTTCCACACCCCATTCTCAGCAGACAGCGAGTCCCAATGGCCTTCTCCCATCCTTTGCCCCTAGCAGATGGAGAGACACCCAGAATGCCTGGCCACCCAGATATTCTGGATCTGTGCTACATCTTGTCCACAAAGGCATACTGGCCCTGTGTCTACAACATTTTCGACTGATAATCCCAGGGGTTCTACTGGGATTCAAACCCAGGTCTGTCTGTCTCCACAGTCATGTTCTTACCTAACTCCAGCTAGTCTAGCTAGTTCTGCAGAAGGTCCTTGTGTAACTACGAGGCTTCTTTTTATGGTGGAGGTGGCCAGTGGAGGTGATAAAATATATATAATACAAAGCTTGTCAAGTACAGTGGCATTAAGTAGATTCACATTGTTGTGCAACCAGCACTACCATCTAGCCGCAGAAGTCCTTATTTTGCAAAACTGAAAGTCTGTGCCTATTAAATAATAACTCCCCATTCCTTTCCCGCCAGTTCTCTCCCATTCTTTGCCCCATGACAGACTAGAAAGGCATCCAGAAGGCAACTGGCATCCTACCTTCTGTCTCAATGAGCTTGACTATTTAATAAATTTGACTACTTCACATAACTGGACTCATACAATATTTGTCCTTTTGTGACTGACTTATTCAACATAGCATATTATTCTCAAGTTCATCCATGTTGTAGGATTCTTCTTTAAAGCTGAATAATATTCCATTATATATATCACATTTGGTTTATCCATTCATCCATCAATGAATACTTTTGGCTACTGTGAATAACACTACTATGAAAATGGGTATACAAATGCTTTTCACTTCCCGCCTTTTATTTTTATTTTAAAAAAATATATTTTATTCTTTACAGAGAGGAAGGGAGAGGGATAGAGAGTTAGAAACATCTATGAGAGAGAAACTGCCTCCTGCACACTCCCGACTGGGTATGTGGCCGCAACCAAGGTCCATGTCCTTGACTGGAATCGAACCTGGGATCCTTGAGTCTGCAGGCCGACAATCTATCCACTGAGCCAAACCAGTTCGGGCATCACTTCCCACCTTTTAATTCTTTTGGGTATATACCCAGAAATGGGATTATTGAATCACAGATAATTCTATGTTTGGTTTATTTTAGTTTCACAGTGGCTGCACTATTTTACATTCCCACCAGCAGTGCACAACTGTGAGACTTTATTCCACAGGTTGGGTCTCATCTACCTTCATGCACCAAGTTTAGGTCGCTGCTGACAAAACTCTCCTTGCATTAGGCAGAACGGCAGCCCAGAAGCTATGGGCTATCAACCAACGTGCCTCCCCAGAAACCAAAGTCACAGGCTTGGTCTCTCTCACCCAGCTCCATACACACACACACACACACACACACACACACACACACACACACACACACATCTACAACTGTGCTCAGCATCTTACCTGAGCCACCTCTTCAAAGTCATCATGCCGCTTCTGCAGGGCTCGGGCTCGATGCAGGGACTTCCCAACTCCTGTGTGTTTGCTGAGGAAGGCCTCGCCATGGTTTTCAATCCAGTCCAACACCTGAACAGAGGAGTAAGACAGAAACAATGACTTTGGGACAGCAGGAAAGACATGTGACAAGATTTTCGACTGCTAATGTCCTAGAGTCCCTATCCCAATCAGAAGGCAGCAAGCAGTCCAGGTGGAAATGTTCAATCACCATATACAAAGGGGATTTCATCACAGCCATTGGCAATCCAACAGCCCCACCCTTAACTAAATTCAGCTCCTCCTTTTTTATCTCCAGAATATCAACTCATTACTTTTTCAGTTTTCTCAACTTTAATTCCTTTTTAAAAATAAGCAGGCACAGTTTAACGCCCTCTCCACCTTTATTCCAACCACATAAATTATCAAGTCAGGGCAGTTCCTTGGCTTTCTCTCTACCATAAAAATAGGCACAGCAGTGGCAACCAATTACAAACATGCTGCCTCCCTGTGCTCCTGGACTCGCCCAATCTTGGAAGTAAAGTCCAGAGCAGTTGGTTTCCAACTGGAGAGATGCTCAATATAGCTAATCACCAGGACAACTGCCTCTCTGGCTTCTTTCCACCTCTCTCCCCGACTCAACATCAACCAACCAACTGACCAACCAAATAAATAAGGTCTTTGCAGCCTTAAGGCGTTTAGTATCTATGATTCTCTTGGGAAGTAGTGGCGACTCCATACTCTTCCAAACTTAAGACCAAATGATTCAAGACGTTTTCCTCAGTGTTTGGAGAAGCTGGAACAGAGGTGGCTGCTGCAGTAGAGACATGAGTGAAGGGGTGTTGAGGAAGTGAGAAAATATGTTGTGTTGAGGGGTACTTCACAAGGTGAGTGGAAACCCCTTATAAATCTTGAAATGTAGGGAGGACCAAAGCCTTTAACCTCCCTTTTGCATTTGCTCAAGTGGCCCAACAAGAATGTGGGAGAAAGGAAGCAGTTCATTTCTGTTTCTGAGAAGTTGACACTCAGTAAATCAGGCAGCTACTATGAAATCAGCTCGTACAGACACACCTGTTTCATATCCAGCCCAAACTCAACTGAGCCCACTCTACTCCTACTATACTTACTATACTTTAACTGAACATTTGATTAATGATGAATTAGCCTTCTGAGATTTTAAAAGGACTTTTGGGAAAATGACAGATGAACTAGGCCTGTTTAAAGGGGTGCTTTAATCCATTCCTCTGGTTCTTCCACAGATTTCCAAGCCTATGGCAAGCAGATAGATAAAATCATTCCATGGCTGGCAGGCATAGGAGTTCCTGCGCTGCAGAATCCAGCCTTTGGCGTCACTCCCTCTGGCACCTGAGATAAATGAATGCCTGCAACTGTGCAAAGTACAAAGCCTTCAACGTCTTCAGTGACAGTGTCACCAAGCGCACAACAAGATGGTATTGAATAACATAAACTGATGAACACAGAGAAACATGGAACAGTCTGTCAAACCTCAGAGAGAAGGCAGGGAGGGGAGGGGAAGAGATCAACCAATGAACTCATACGTGTATATGCATAACCCATGAACACAGACAATAGGGTGGTGAAGACCGGGGCGGGGGTTGGGGGGGCAGTAGTCAGGGTAGGAGAGGTCAATGGGGGGGGAAAAGGGGACTTATGTAATACTTTCAACAATAAAAATTAAAAGAAAAAAAGATGATATTGGTTCAGAGCAATGAACATGTGAATATAATAATGTGTTTGTTAAGTGGTTTAACAAACAACCACTTAATGAAGCCAGAGGTCAGGTAATTATCCATTAAAATGAAGGAAAAGTTTTTGTTTTTGTTTTTTAAATGCTTTAAACATTGGATGTAGAGATTTTGGAGGCAAAAAGAAATCGCAGTAGTAAATTAACTGTATTTTCACATCTGCAAAAAGAAATCGCAGTAGTAAATTAACTGTATTTTCACCTTCTGCAAACCCTGAAAGGCAGCATTGAAAGGAGCTCTAAATGTTCCTTTCTTGGAAGAAAGAAGAGCCTGTGCTTCCTTAGCATTATGTATGGTGAAATTTCAACAGCAGAAAGATCAGGAGAGTGTATTTTTACTTGACTTGTAACAATTTGGCCCCACAATTCTCTATTATTAAGGGGAGGAGGAGCATTAGCATGCAAGGTCAAGGATAAATAGTTCAAGTCACAAAATTTCCCATCACACAGTTTTATAATGTTTATGCATATCTAAACTTTTATTAATCCCCTTTTTAGAATGAATTGAAGCGTGGGGATAATTTTTATATACAAAAGAGCTGTCTTGCAGCCGTTCATGAAGGCTTCGGAATTTATGACAGATTTTCAGATAATAATTTCTTTCTTAATTTAGCTTTGCACAGTTAAGTGCCACTTGCTTGTCTCGCACTGTTTTCATGAATTTTATTTTATTGCATTTCATATTTTTAGCTCTAGCTTTAATAAAATCGGTTATTCTAAAGCACACTGGGTAAAGAAGAATGCTTTTCATCTACTAGCTTGGAAATGGCGAGCTTTTTTACTCACTGGGAGTGATTTTACAACTTTTAAACTTTATTAAAAAGCAATTTGTTTCCTGTTTAAGTTCTCTTGCTTCGATTTATTTTCAGTTAGTGACAGTTAACTTAATTAGCTCTACCTTAACCACTTAAAAATCTATTTACTTCCCATTTGAGAGGCTTTCACTTAGTTTAAACATAACTTTGATTGCTCTGTGATGTTACATTGCCTCCTTCATCCAACTCCGGCCATTAGCACTGAAGCTGTGGGGAAACCTGTGCAACCTCAATGAGATTCAGGAACTGCATGGAAACCAATTTAATAGACAAAAAAAGCAAGTGACTGAGGAAGTGAACAAAATTATTTCAGTAATACACAGTCACCGAAAAAGTACCCAAGGCTAGATAAGCACAATTGATATATGAGTTATTGTGTAACATGTCAATTTCTGGCTGTTCTGTGTCAGTTCATTTAGAGCCAGCATATTTTGATGCACACGTTTGGACCACATGCTCTCTTAACCCTGATTCTATGACCCTAACCCTGGGAGTACAATCCAGCCTCCCACACAGAATGGGCAGCAGAGAAAGGCATCTCTGAAAAGTGCCTGGTGATTACATTCCACACCATAAATTAATGTGCAGCCCTGGAAATCTGCACACCCCTCAGACTCTGACCACCCAGACTCTGGACACCCAGACTCTGACCACCACTGGTTGAAGAATACATTGTATTTCTAACCAAACGCTGGACCTACCAAAGTGTAGGTACCTATCAAGGTACCTCTTATTAGCTAGCCCTGTTTAACTCTCTCATCTACAATAAGTTTAAATATCCAATTACCAATTGTAATCAGGATAGTAAAGAATTATACCTGTTGACAGCTTTGAGTTGTTATTTAAGTGTATTGGGATACAGAAGTTTTTTATCTTTTTGTTTTTGTGTAAGGGCTCTTCAGGAAGCAGAGAAACACATGTGGATATGAAGATTCACACATTCAAACATATTTATTACTTTCACTGTGGCCTACACCTGGGCACAAGGACAGTCTGAGTACAGTGTTCAACAAGGCAGGTATGGACCTCACTCCAGAAACTCAGCTATAAACTGGTAAGCAACAAGCACTAGACCCAAAGTCATACAATCCATCATTAATTGCAATGGTGAAAAAGTGCCAACAGTCAGAAGCTCCTAACTGGGGGGCAGGGAAGGCCTCTCTGAAGTAAGGTTGAGCTGAGATGTGAGAGCGAATAGGAGTTAAGCTCCGAATTAGAAAGACCAGCATAGCTTGAGTAGGAAGGAAGGACGAAATGAGCCCAAAGAAGGCAGAAGCCAGATGGTGCTGAGCCTGGTGTGCAGAGTCAGCTTCCAGCGTCCATGCTTAGAGCCACTGAAGGGCTGCAAGGAGGAGGAGACATCATGGGATCTGCATTTGTGAGTTATGGTTCTGTCTGCTTTGCGGAGAGTCCGTTGGAAGATGACAAGAAGAAAGGTGGGAAAACAGGAGGTTACTGCAGAAATCCTGTTAAAACAATGGTGACATAGACAGGGCCAATGGCAGTGTGTGAGGAGAGATAGGCTTGAGTAGTATTTAGCCAGGATTTGGTGATTGGTTATGGGGGTGATGGAGAGGAAGGTGGAAGGTCCCATAGAAATAACAGTTTTTTCTTAAGTTTTCTTTCAACTTTCATATTCATGCTGTGGTTTGGTAAATGACAGTTATACCTCTGAGCTTGAGTGGAAGTAGCACCCAATGATAGTTGTCAACCTGCTTCTGGCAAGATGCACCCTTAGTTTCAAGGAAATAATTTTATACAATATGGTTTAAAAATAAATTATAAATTGTTAATATATAATCCTAAGAATACAAAAAATTAGGAGCAAATCCATTGGAAGAACACAAACTTAGGCTTACTAGTAAGTGAAATTAACCTGTGCATACTCGAAGGGCATTTCATGAGATAGAGTTTTTGAGGAACCTCCTAACCTGACATGCAGTCCTCTTTGGCCAGCCCAACCCTACTTTCAACCCCACCTCCAATAAGTTTCTGCCTCACCCCTAAATTCCCCCAAAGCTACTCCTCACTTCCTGAGTTTTGCTGTTGCTATATTTAACTTTACTTAAAATGTGCTCATCTTGTTTCTCCCTATACTCACTTTCCAGGCTTCTTTCTACTCATCCTTTAAGTGCCATCTCAAAATGTCTAGTTTTTTTTTTTAATTTATTTTTTTATTGAGTTTTTACAGAGGAAGGGAGAGGGATAGAGAGTTAGAAACATCGATGAGAGAGAAACATCGATCAGCTGCCTCTACAGGGGATGTGCCTGCAACCAAGATACATGCCCTTGACCGGAATCAAACCTGGGACCTTTCAGCCCACAGGACGATGCTCTATCCACTGAGCCAAACCGGTGTCAGCAAAATCTCTAGTTTTAGAAATCCTTTCCCCTTTCATAACCCATCCAGGCCGTGGTACGATCACTCATTTCTGATTCTATCCAAACCACAATTATTGCCCATGGGCTTGTCTCTCCCACTAACCTTTGACCCCCTGTGATTTCCAAACACA